AATGACAGCATTAGCAACTGGCATTCCAAGATATTCTTCTGCCATTTCTTTTAATTTTAACAATAGTCGAGAGCCAACATATTCTGGGGAAACGGTGATGGTCTCATTACTTGTCACAGAAAACTCAACCAATCCATTTTTGTTTAAAACCTATAAATAGGATTAAAAAAAAGGAATATGAATAAAAGTCTGTTAAATATAAACATATGTATGTACTTACACACATACATACTAGATTTTTTTCAATAAAAACTTACCTTTACAAAGTGATAAATTCCATATTTGTATCCATCTGCCAAGATTAGAGCTTATTAAATGTTATACTTTAAGAACTATAAAGTAAATAAAATATATGCTACAGTTTTTAATAAGAGCAGAATAAAATTCATAACCAAGTATATTTATTTGTTCAATGAATTCCTGATGAAAGACAGGAATTTCCCTTTATCCACACAGGGATGTGTTCCAAGTTCCCCAGTGGATGATCCTTCAGCTTAAAAGAAAAGCACTTGCTTTGGCTTCTCTTTGGCATATTCAAATTGTCTGCATCACTACTCCTGCATCTTGGTTCCATTAATCAGTAAAATAAAGTTACCTGAACACAAGCACTATACTTCAAGAGTCAAGTTGATAATCAGTATAAGTACCAAGGGACTTGGTAGCATACAAAATAGATACGGGGTGATACCAGTTCTGGGTGGGATTGAACAGTTCCAAAGACTTTGTTTTGCTACTCAGAATGTTATACAATTTAAAATCTGTGAATTATTTCTAAAATTTTTCCTTTAATATTTTCAGATAGTGGTTGATCACAGGTAACTAAAATCATGGAAAATAACCACAGAAAGCAAAATCACAAATAAAGGGGGGGACTAATATATAAGGAATAACAGTTGCTCAATCATGTATATAACTCAGGATCTTCCCTTTCTCTTTTGTTCCAAGTTAGCTTGTTTTCTAGAGTAAAAAATAAAATTAAAGAAATTTCTAATACATATTAAAAATAATAATTTTAGTATTTTATTATGTCCTTATCCAAGAATCAAACATCATTTACCTTCTTATTTCCATGAAAATATTTACTATGTATTAGCTCATTTTCTCTAATGTAGGCATACATTTAAAAAACTAGATTATCTCTAAAATGTACTACATTAGTACATTTTACCTAGTACACTTGTACACACCCTAGTATAAACTATGAACAGATTGTTTTAACAGCAATAGCAAAGAAAATTAATCTCATCCAGAAATTATAAGACTCTTTCCCCAACCATTCTAGACCTCATAATTAAGTTACAATCAAGAAAATCTGACCTTGTAAATAAAAGCAAGCTATAGATCTACTATGAATATAAGATACAAAGATACCAGTACCATAAGGCCCACCCCAAACCAAAACAAATTGTTTAGAATCATTTGAAATTTAGTAACTTAAAATAACTCTTCAACCAGTAAGTAATGCACCCAAAGCTGTAACTTAGAGAAAATGTATAGCTTTAGTATTTTATCACTAAAGATTATAAATTAATAAAAGAATCCCAAAGAAAGAAACTAAAAACAAAATAATAAAGTTAGAAGTACAGCAATTTTTTTTCTCTCTGAAAATAGATTAAAAGTTTAAAAATTTTTATGGATAGGGTTATTCAACAAGCAGCAGTGACTGAACTACCTAATGATTTTAAAACTAATTTAGAATCCTAGTTCATAACTTAGAAGAAAAACTGTACATTAAAAAAAAAAGATTTAAATGTTTAAAACAAAAACAAAAAAACACTCAGCAACAAAACACAAACCAACACCTATATAAAAGCATCAGGATGAAAAATGAAACAAAACAAAACAAAACACCAAAACAAGTGGATAAGAAAACCATATTAAGCACAGTAAGAGTCAATGCCATTTTTATAAAATTAAGAGGGAATTTTGCTGCATACAAACTTAAAATTTTGACAACTCAAAAACAAATCATCACTTAAAAATAAAAACAATTAAAAAAATAACAAAACCAAAAGTATTTGATTTTCATTTAGGAAAAAAATATCATGTCAAAGAAACAGAACAACAACAACAAAAAATAGTTCACCAAGGAAAATAAAAATATGAATAAAAAAATTTCTAAAAAAATCTCACTAGAAAGCAAAGAAATGAAATTTAACAGAGGATTTCATTTTTCTTTCATCTGATTGGGAAATATTGTAAAACAATAATAACCAGGGAAGATAGAGGTGCTCTAAAAAATAACAGTTAAGAACATATAACCTTTCTGGTGCACAATCTGTTAATAAATATCAAAGCCTTAAAAACATGTGTACCTTTGACTTATCAATTCCACTTCTAGAATTCAAGTCAGGAAATTTTCAGATAAGTAAAAACAGATGTATATACAAGAACATTCACTGAACCTCCACCATTAGTGGAATACGAGAAAAAATAAGTAAATATACAGTGAAAAGAGACTGATCAATTTAGTCATTTTACACAACCATTAAGATAACATCTATGACATATTGCTGAGTTTCAAGTAAGTCAGAAAACACCATGCTTTGTATGATCTATTCAGACATAAACAAATATGTACATACATAGATAATATCTATCTACAGTATATGGGGCTTCATCAACCTTCCTGCTACCTTGAATAAGGTAAGGACACATTCTCAAAATGGCAGAGCAAGTATATAGTAAGGTCCTAAGTTCTTGATAACATTGGAGAGTCTTAGTAATAACTCACCCTGGAGCTGCTATGGAATTTCCTGTTAAATAAGATAGCATAACATCCATATAGATTAAGTAAATTAAAACAGAATGTTTTATAATGTGAAAGTAAAGTATTAATTGAAACAATACAATAAATAAGTTAAAAACAGTAAAATAAACAAAACATATTTTGGATTAATCCCTTACCTTAAATGGGTATCTGCCAATTTCAGCTTCAAGCTCTTCTGGAGTGAAAATCTTGCCTATGAATCTTTTGGCATCATAGATTGTGTTTTGAGGATTTGAATCTGCCAACTCTAAGCTTTCATATCCCACATATACATCACTGTCAGTAAAAGACACCATGCTAGGTATGCTGATATGCCCATTTTCATCTGGAATCACCTTTACTTTTCCTGTGCCAGGAAAAAACACCCCAACAGAACAATAGGTGGTGCCCAGGTCAATGCCAATCACTTTTGGAGTAGGCAATGGTAAATACTGTTGTGCCAAATAGCCAGCCAATAGGAGAGTCAAAACAGCTGATCCTGAAAACAGGCAAATTAAAAGATACATCTTATCAGATTATGATAATATACTAAATTACTATAGCAAAGTCTAATATGCTCAATTACTAAAGCAGTCCCTTTAATACCAATCTTTGAAACAAGACTAAAAATATATCTCATTTAATTTTATAGAACTGTTAATACTTCTCTTAGACATCTAGGTTTTTTATAATGTAAATTAGTTATAATTAAAAATAAAGTAATGACAAAACCAAAACAAAAAAATCCTGTAATTGTATCTGTAGTTCACTAGTAGAACACAGGAATAAAATGTAAAAATATTTAATAATATTTGTAGAATAATTCTGCTCATGATGTCAGGAAACACCCTTCATCTTAAGTAAAAGTTAAATTTTATCCAATTTTCTTGAACAATTGCTATTTAAATTTTATAAAGCTTATGTTATCATTTTTGAAAAGAAGCTCCATTATTGAAATTCTCACACCAAAACCTTTACTAATAATGTAAAGTTAAAACTCTTTGTTTTTGTATCTCCTTTTCCTTTTCAAAAGGATAAAATGGATACATCAGATACAATGACTTTGAAAGTTGCTCAGGTATTAAACCATCACTTCATAACAGAACATAGTTTATATATATATATATATATATATATATATATATATATATATATGAATTAAAGACAGATCTTGTAGCGATAATATTTAGGTGAGAAGTATAAAAGTGAGTAACACTGATGGCAATATATATGCAAGCTCCTTGAAGGCAAGTTTTGTTCACTGTTGTAGCTCTCATGCCAAGGAATAACATACGCTCAGCAAATACAAATTCATGAAAAAATAGATCTGAACAAATGCCATAAATAATTGTAAACATAAGCAAAAAAAAAAAAAAAAAAAAACTACTCTAAATTTGGAATTATGCTCTTACTTGATTTCAGGAGGCTGTGTTAAATACCTGTGTACACTTATGTTACATTACAACCAAAAACGTCAGTTAGTAGGCCTGTGTTACTAATTGTTAGCTCATCCTCTTCAACACTAACTCAAAGAAATGAAATCAAGTGTCAATTTCCTTCCACCTACAGGCAAATTGCATAAAGAGTTTATCACCTTCCAAGCAGGGGAAGGTAAATCCCATCCGATATGGTGGAAAGAGCATCAAAAGGCCCTACATCCCTTCAAGCTCAGCATCCCAGGCATCTACAGCTCAGGATGCTCCTGCTGCGGCTCCTCCCCCTTCCTCCACAAAGGGTCCCGGAGGTGTAGGTTCCCGCGGCCTCTCCCCATTTCGGTCAGCAATTCAAAACCAAGGTTCTGTTGTAAGAAACCCATCGCCAAGCCGCAAATCCCTGAGAGGTACGATTTGTACGTAGCTTGCCAGGGCCAGACTTCTCTTGGAGGCGCCTCCACCCCCACCAGGTCCGAAAAGCCCCAAATCGCCTCTAAGTCAGCTTTTCCAAGTCCCCTTCTATGCCAGCTGGAACCAAGAGCTGAGACAATCATTCCGCCCACCCTGGCCTCCGCGGACCGCCTTGACGTCCGCCCAGGCAAAAGAGACCCCTTAGACACTGACCTAAGATCGTCATCTCTCCGGCCATTACAGTCCCGCCGAAGAGGCTTGGGATGACTGTACCAGACGTGAGGCACCGCCCCCACACCGCCCCGCCAGCCCGCCGCCCCCTGGGAAATGTAGTCGTTCTGTTCTGACGCAGTGGAAGAAGCTATTGCTCCGTCCACAGCGAGGACATCAAGTACCGTAAGGCCGCGGGGCGGAGAGCCTCCATTCAACCGCTGCCAGTGACGATCCAGGCGCCCTCCCACGCGCGGATTGCGGAACCAGTGAGGCTGAGATGGAGGGCCGGCACAGGGACGGACTAGAGTTATTACCAAACCTCAAACGCCTGGGGCCAACTTGAGGTAAACACAGTCTCTTTTTAGCTCCGCCCTTCCGCTTTGCATTCTGGGAAGTGTAGTCCTGTGCCCTATCTGGCGGAAAGCTTGAGAAGGAGGGTGGAAACCCTTAGGGTGATGTTTTCTTTGGTCTCTGGCCTAGGGCGCTGGCCTTTGTTTTTGCCTTCGGCTTGCGTGTAAAGCGTGTTTCTTTGCCTGTGATCTAGATTTTAGATGGAGTTCTTCTAAACCCGCAAGCCCCTCCAGCTTCCCCTTGCCTCAGTGCAAGCCCAGAGGAGGCCTAATGTCCCTACTCATTACCCTGGGCACAGTCCTGGAACTCTAGTAGGCTCTTCAGGCTTCTACTTTTGGTTTGGGACAAACGAATTCAAGTAATCTTCAGTGAATGGGATTTATCTAAGAGCGCATTTTTCTATTGCTAAGCACCAAAGTGGGCCCTTGACAAAACAATAAACCTAGCTTTATCTTAAATCATAAGTGGCCAGAATGTCCTTTATGGATAGGTCCTATAACATATATTGGCTAGTTAGAATACTTACGAAATGTTTTTTAAGTTTTTAGTTGATAATTTTTGATTCTCATTTCTTAGTCGTGGGCTCCTTTTGACACTACTTTTGTTGTTTTTGTGACGGAGCTGGGGCCTGTGAGAAACTGAGGCAAAGGGAGGACCACCCTCTTCAAACCCTGATCCTTGAGACTAAGTCAGAAGAATTTCAGACATGTCGTTCCAAGTAATAGGCATGAATTTATTAAGAGCTAGGGAAGGGAAAGGGACACTTTCAAGGGAAGGAGTGGGTTCTCTCAGGAGAGAAACAATATGCCTCTCATGCACTCCAGTTTTATTGGGGATCCTAGAGAAGCTTCCAGAGTCCTGCACCTCATGACTTGTCTGGCAGAAGGATGACATCAGACTTTCAAGTCCCCACTGTCATGGTAACTCTAGGTTACCTTGGCCCATGCTGACTGGAACTCATTAGATTCTTAAGCATCCATTTTTGCAGATTTTACATTTGGGAAGAACTCTTATCTCCCAGAGTTTTAGGATCTAGTCACAAAAGTCTCCTGGATTTCTCCCTTGACATTATCTTGGGCCTGCATTTCTCTTGCAGTTAACAGGTAGTCTGCTCAGGAATGTAACTTATATTGTTCACTTTGGTCAGATAGGCCCGCAATTTTCCAAATTGCTTCTTGGAAAAGAAAGCATGTGGGGGTCAGCCACCAAGGTGCCAATTTTATAGAATTATTCTCTTAACTTCATGTTCCCACCATTCGTATATGTCTGTTCCCTAACATTTTAACTGCTAAAGTTCTTGAGACTGAAGATCCTGGAGACTTGAATCTGTTTTCTATGGGAATAAACCTCTATTAGCTTTCTAGCTGATTCAATTGTATATATAAATGGATATTGAATCTGAATTAAGACTATTGAGGATTCATTCTAATATGCTATTTGTGTTTTTTAAGCATGTGAAATGTGAAACTTATGTATACATGTATATAACAAGTACTATTCAGTAAAATTTTTGTGAAGAATTTATATTCAATTTTTGAATACTGTTATGGGAAATAATGATACTAACAAATATTGCTGGGGAGTTGCTATATACTGTAGTATATAGCATATACTATAATACCAGCCTGGACAGCTAGCAGAAACAGAATTGAAGAAATACTATACTCTTAACTTGAAGCGGTTTGTGGAAGAGAATATGAGCAATATTTTGGAGGGTAAAGGGAACTAAAACATAGATTAATGGAGGAGTAGTATGAATAGTAGGCTGGGGATTTCTAGGTAGAAGGAACTGTATTACTAAGAGCATAGGAGCAGAAAAACATCCCCTAGGTTAGAAACTCTAGGGACATGAAGTATGGGTGGAAGTATGAGATATAGGACTAGAGAAGTCAAAGCAGATCAGGAAGATTGTGTCAGTCACTGCTCATTGTCATGCTTCCTGCCACCCATTCCTTTCTCCTTGGTAAAAGTATTCTCACTTGTTCAAGGAGTAGCTAGAGTTTATATGCTTTTAGAGTGGCAGGCCTTTATCTAAGGGGAGGAATTTAAATTGAACATTAATTTTTTATGCTGTCTTAAATTTACCACAAATTTGATGTCTTGAACTAATACAGATCTTATTATTTTACAATTCAGAAATTTGATTTGGAATTCATAGGATTAAAATCTGGATACTGTCATGCTGAATGAAATAAGCCAATCTCAAAAAACCAGAGGTTGAATGTCCACTCTGATATGTGAATGCTAACCACAACAAGGGGAGTGGAGGATAGAACTTCAGTGATTAGACAAAGGGAAATGATGGGAAAGAGCGGGGCTAGATTAGGAATGACAGTGGACTGAATCAGACATACTTTTACTATGCACAATGAATTTAAACATTGTGTACATCCAAAAGCCTGGGATCCTAAAGATATATTCCAGGCTTGTGTAAATATATCAAAATATATTCTACTGCCCTGTGCAACTAAAAAGAACAAGTGAAAATCAAGTAGTCATCAGGGTGTGTTCCTTTCTGGAGATTCTAGGTTTGAATCTATTTCCTGTACATTCAAATTGGCAGAATTTATTTCCTTGTGATTATAGGATCAAGGTCCCATTTTCTTTCTGTTTGTAAACTAAAGGCTGTTCCAAACTTGTAGAGGCCACCCACATTCCTTAGCTCAGAAATTTCTTACTGCATCTTTAAAGCCAATAACAGTGGGTCAGGTCCCTCTTAGAGGACATTGTTTTGTATCCTTTAAAGGTCATGTGATTGGGGTTGGTGCTGTAGCTTAGTGGTAGAGCTGTTTGCTTAGCCCTGGTGAGGCACTGGGTTCAATCCTAAGCACCACATAAAAAAATAAATAAATAAATAAAATTATAAAAAATATATTTTAAAAAAAGATCATGTGATTAAGTTGGATCCATTCAGAAAACCTAGGATAATTTCCATCTCAAGCTCTTTACCTTATCATATCTTCAGAGATCCTATTTGGCATGTAAGGAAACATAGTCATAAGTTCCATGAATAAGAGTGTGAACTTCTTTGGGAGGCAGTTATTCTTCCTATATCATGATTTGTCCTCTTGTTCTCAAAGATTCATAACTGTACATATACAAAACGAAGCATCCCTTCCAAATCTCATCCTGTTAACAACATTAACTTAAAGTCTGAAGAGCTATTCCAAACTTCATCAGCTCAAAAGCCCAAATCTTTTTAATATTATATAAATATTTTTATATTATATAAAAATCTTTTTATATTATATAAATATATTATATAAATATATATTATATAAATATACAAATCTTTTTATATTATATAAAAAGTTCTTTTTAATATTATTATATCCCCGAGGACCAAGAACCTCTACAGTGGTGTTGGGAAATGAGAAGAGTAAGAACAGAAAAATAAAAGTAGATGTACTTATTTATTCCTGTTTTCATGGCAAGGAGCTAATAGATGTTATGTAGAATGGAGAACTTAAGATGTAATTCAAAGTAAAAAATGCAACTATTAGAAGGACTAAGAAAAAGGAAACATAGAAAAAAGAATAGGTTATAAAGAAAAATAAGTGGAACAAAATAAAAATATGTAAATTTTTTGTGTTTTCTATAGAAGAGAGTCAATTTAATTGTAAAAATTCCTAGGGCAAGCATATCAATAAAGCAATAGGAACAAAAAATAGATGACAGATTTAGGATCAATACTAACAAATACAAATGGGGTAGACCAAAAACTACCTGATTGTTCCTTTAAAATCCATATCTGAAAACAACAAAACACAAAAATTAAAAGGATATTTCCTTACATGTAAAAAAAATACTCAAACAATAAACCATCATCAAACTTCAAATTACAACTAGTAAAATTGGAAATGAGATAAAAATGCCTATTTACAACTATTATATAATATTTCTCTGGAATATCTAGTGCAAAGAAATAAAATGGAAGTTACAAATTTGGGAAAAGAATAAAGGGGCAGATTTTTCATTTTATAAACATGATTATTTACAAAGAAAATAAGCTAAGAATATTTGAGAAGCAATAAGAATTAAGTGGGAACTTGTTTAATAATATTATGCAAAGATAACTTTCCTGTTGCAAATAAGAACCAGATATAAAACAATATGGCAGGAAATATCACATTTGTGGTAGCAAACAAGAAGATAAAATCCACAGAAGTAAATTTAAGAATAAAAGAAAAAAGCTGTTAAACTATCCTAACACTGAAACAATACCTTTTAGTAAATGAAAATAGAACACATTTTTGGGTCAAAAAACAATACATTTATTATATAAAATTTTAAATATATATTAGAGTAGAGGGAACTAATTTTTATGTACCTCATCTAGATTCAATTTTATGTCTATTTCTACCCAGTTCTCATTTTATATTGCATTAAATCAAATGTGAGATATATTATTTTAGCCTTAAATATTTTAATAGATTTATCTAACAGTGTTTTCAAAAACACACACAATAATATTATTAAGCCTAAATATCCATAGTTATATTTTGTTATTAGTAATTGTCAGTGCTCTAGTTTCCAAATGCTTCATAAATATATTATTGCCTTCCAGGTGACTCTTTGAATTCCAATCCAAATAAATTCTTCAATTTGTAGTTTTGAAGAAATTTGTCCTACAAAGTTTTTCACAGTCTAGATTTGCTGATTCATTGTATAATTTGAAAATTTATTCTAAAGAATGGAGTCTTTGCTGTCACACCCCATGAAACTAGAGACTGTCATCAAGGGAAAAGGGGAAAACACTCACGTCATGGACACCTGCTTCAGGAACACTCTCACAGAACTAACCAATTAGATGGCCTGCCCTATTTTTGACAATATTTATTTAGCAACTGATGATAGAACTGCGAAGGCCACAGTATAGAGAAGGAAATCCCATGTAGAGCACAATGTCCTTGTTGAGTTGAGAAGTGATATCAGAGCTCAGGGAATCTGTGCCATCTCTGAACCTTGCTGCAATGGAGACTATGCTTTTAACACCCGAGCTTTTTGGGGGGGCGGGCATTCCAGATCCAAATTATAATGGGAAGAATCTCCTTAAATTGTGTAATAGATGCCTCACTCTTTATTTAGGAGCTACTCGCTTTCTACTGTCAGTGTGTTAAGCACTTGCACTTGCTTGCTGTACCCCCTTCCCAGCCCTGCCTTATCATATTAGTATAGTAACTGTAGCTTTCTTTTGCTAGTCTGTGCTTAGTACATTTTTTCCAATCCTGTATCTCTTTATCCAATATGTCTTTAAATGTTCTCATGTAAATAGTATACAGTTAGGCTTTAGTTTCAATGCAAGTTGGGACAATTAGACTTTTACTTGAAATCTTTATTTACTTTAAATATAGCTATGGATATTGCTTAATAAATAGATTTATTCTACCAAGGTTGCTTTTAACAACAAAATCTCCTAATTCATTTTTTTTCTTTTACTTCTTTTGTACTTTTCTTAAGATCATTTAAAATTTTTTTAAAAAATTTATTTTCTCTTTTATTCTTCAGTGGCTATCAGTGATTTTAGCACATACCTTTGAGTTATCACAGATGGTCTTTTTATCATGTTTTGAAGAATACAAGAATCTTATAGCACTTTTTGCTCCATTTAGCACTGCTGTCATTGAACTATTGGGGTCTTTTGTACATAAAATATGTTAAAACCCCACATCTAAAAATTAGTACTATTGTAGTCTATCTCATTAAATTTAGTCTTTCCCTAAAGTAGTGACCGGTAGAGACATATCCTGTATTTATTGCAGATCCATCTCTTTTTAGGAGCTTTGTCACCTAAGCATTACAAGAAAGCAGGAGTTTCTGTTTTCCTTTGTACCAAACCAGCATTCATATTTGGGGCTCCTTGAGATTCTATATTCAGTGACCACCAAAAGCTGTGCTGATTTTTCTTTCTCATTGTGAATTTTTGCTTAAGTCAGCTTGATTTTTAGTACGTGCACAGATTTTCCTGTGTTCCCAATAAATAAAACTATTAGTTTCATCTTTCCTAAGAGGGCATATTTCATCTCTGGAAATAGTTCATGTAGTCCAGTTTGCTTCCTGACTGTTGATGTCTTTACAAACTTGACTTTTGGATGTGTGCATTTTGCCTCTATTTGTTAAAGTAGAAGTAATAGTATGTTGTCCCCTCCATTTTGCATTCTACTCAGGTTGAAATAGATATTTTAACTTATTTGTTAAACTGTAATTGGTTGATAATGGCTGATGTGAATACTGTAATGAAAAGAATTTTCACATCATATTCAGACTCTTTAAGAATGACAGCCATAATTAATTAGCAATGTCTGCCATGGGTTTAGATTGGAGTGTGGCACATATGCTATTCTTATATCTAAATACCTTATTTATTACAGTGTGCCCTAAGTTTCACTAGTGAGTGTGCCTAAGTCATAAGGAATATAAAGATGTAAACACACAATAACAATACCAGTTATTGTCTTGGTCTCTGCTGCATGTTCACATCTTAGTACATTGGTAAATACATTATGGATGCTTAAATATAGTTAATAAAAATAAAATAGAGTAAATACAAAGCATATATGAAAATAAAACATATTTTGGACATTTCATTAAGTCTTGAGGAGCCAACTGCTTAAAGAATAAAATTAAGACTTATTTTAGCATTTTCACAGCATTCCATACATGGAGATCAGTTGTTTTTGAATAGTGATTTAATGAATGTATTTTGGGCAGATCATCATAAATATTTCCATTTTTCTAAGGTAATTGGGCTTATCTATCCATTATATAGGCTTTGACTTTATGGTGTCAAATATCATTCTAAGGTTAATTTTTACTTTATTATGTAAATTTTTACAAACAATTAAATCATGTATTTTAAAAATTTCATCAAATACTACATGAACTTTGTGAAATAATTGTATAATCTTTTATCTTGTTTAATTGTCATTTGTGTTTTGTGTCATGCAACTAGTCATTAAAAGTCACATTACTGTGATGTTAAAAATTAAGAGAAAGGTCTCATAAGAGAAAAATCACTTCATTTTGGACTGCCTGTTATTAATAATGACTTAGCACTTAAATATGTATCAAGTTCCTCTTAAGTTGTGAAAAGTGTGTGATTTGCTAACCAGTCTAAATGATGAGTAAAGAATAAAGTAATAAGTTACCATTTGTTTGATTTCTTAACAGCTGATTTGTATATATTATAAATTTTTCCCCTAAAAATGGATTTTAGGGGTGAATTAATACCTTTTTTACGAACAGGAAACTAAAGGTAGAATTTAAGAGTACATCTTCTTATTTAATGAAGTGTATGTTCTTGTTTTAGTCAGCTTGGACTGCCATAATAAAATACCATAGACTGGTAGCTTAAAGAATGCAAATTTCTATTCTCACAGTTCTGATGACTGGGAAGTCTAAGATAAAAGTGCTGACCACTTGGATTATTTTAGGAGTTTTCTTCTTGGCCTTTCAGCTGGTTGAAAAAAAGCTGGGGAGAAAGAGAAGCATCTTCCTCTTCTTACCAGGCCACATCCCTGTCAGACTGGAACCCCATTTTTATGACCTCATTAGCTTTAATTGCCCCCCCCCCAAAAAAAAAAAACTGTGTCTCCAGATAGTCACATTTTACAATGGAGGTTAAGACTTCAACATACAAATTTGGGAGGGGCACAATTCTGTCTGTAATAGTTCTTGGATACATATATAAAATACTATTTTATACTTAGTATTGTTATAATTGTTAAAGATGAAATAATTTAATACCTTGGGTTATTTTTCACTTTTGCTTTATACATGATTTACTTTGTGAACTGTAATTAATAACTCCATGAATAACTCTTTGGCACATAATATTTGTTGAATTAATTAATGACTTCACCCCCTAAAAAGAACAAGTTGATGATCACACAGATTTGTGTTCTTGTATGATTTTTAAATTTTTGTCTCCAAAGTATGACTAAGTTATGCATTATTTCCAATGCAAATTATACCCTTTAATTTTTTTTTCTAGCAGCTTTAGAATTCAAATAAGTGCTATATGTCTCAAGTTAGCTTTCTCATCCTAGACTTAATTATGCCTTATGAGACTTCAATAGTTTAATCCTTATTGTCATCTTCATTGTTCCTGAACCCATCAAAACAGTATTTGGCCATAGCAAAATCATTAGATTTACAATATGGCTTTTGAGTACATGAATCAAACTATACTGATAGTTAAAACTTATTTTGCAAAGCTAGACTAGAATGAATATACTATAGATTATGCAATATGACAGCATGTATCAGTTTTTAGGTTAGTTTTCTCTTTTCAACAGAGAAAAATCTTCAGTGGTATATTTAAAGTATTTAGTTATTCAGTTTTTAATAATACAACATTATGATCTTAGATTGTTGATTAACACAAAGGCACACAATAAAAGCTTCAATAAAGGCACATAAGAGAAGAGCTTTCTAATCTCTACTATATGCAGGCTTCAGATAAGGGAGAGAAGGGAAGGGGTCAAAAATGTTACCAGCCCATTTTTCCTAAACAAGTGTTCTGATTCAAATATTTTAACAACTACCTTAGAAGTTGTTATCGTTTAGATATAAAGTGTCTTCAGAAACTCATGTGTGAGACAGGGCAAGAAAGTGTAGGGCTGAAATGATTGGGTTATGAAAGCCTTAACCTAATCAGTGCATTAATTCACTTGACTGGGTTTACTGGGTGGTGACTGTGGGCAAGTAAGGTGTGGTTGGAGAATGTAGGTTAATAGAGATGTGCCTTTGGGGAATATTTTTTGTTCCTGGTATACAGAACTCTTTCCCTGCTTCTTTGTTGCCATGTCCTGAACTGCTTTCTTCTGCTACATCCTTCTTGGAGTTGGTCATCTATAGACTTAGACCTCTGAAACTGTGAGCACCAAATATACTTTTCTTCCTTTGAATTATTCTTGTCAGGTCTTTTGGTTATAGAGACGAAAAGCTGACTAAAACAGAAGTGTTGAAGAGTTGACTAAATTTTTATCAAGTTTGCTATATAGTGTTCATGGAGATACTCTGTTGGTTCCAATTAGAATGAAATTCACTGATTGGGAGCAGAATAAAATCTGTTGCATATAAGAACAGAAAGAATAATGAGCCCATATCAGAAGAGATTTCCAGAGCTATTCTGTGACATTGATTGTATGATGCTTATATTGTAAACATCGATGACATGACATTGATTATATCTATTGAAAATAGGTGACCTTGAAGATTCATTTGTTCTAAAAAGTGATTCCTTCCCACCCTTTTTCTGTCCCTAATTGCCTCCTTCCATCCCTTTCTTCTTTCCTTCCACAAATATTTACTTTACCTTTACCATTTCCTACGTTCTCCAAATACAGTAGGAAATCAAGATGGAAGGTTTCTGAGCTCAGGGTGTTCATAACCTAGTTGGAGGAGCTTGGACATTTAATTACTAGTTGCTTAGATAGTGATTAAATTTTAAGAGGAGTCATAACTACTTCAAGGAAATGTTTATATTGGTGGAGGGGGCTTTGGGGACACTATTTCATGTATTAACTTAGATACATCTACTTCCATTTATTAAAGGCATGTGTTTGTGTCTTTTAAAAATTATAATGAAAGATGTAATTGGTAATGAAAGAGAGAATTAATTGTGCCAAGATTTCAATAAAGAAAATAATAAATTTTAGTCTTCCAGCTAATGTTAATGTTTCAAATATATTTTTAGTAAAATTAGTTGTCTTTCTCCTAAAACTTGTGTTTTTTCACTATCCTAGGGGATGGATTAAGCTTATTTCAGTGCCATTTACTTTAAGAATTTCAGATGTTAGCAAAGAGTTGTTTTATTCATGAAGATGATGAGCTCAGAGGAATAGGTGAAATATATACTGATGCCCTAGATTTATCCTTTTTCTAATGTGAATTTTTTTCCTTTACATTTTAGACCAGCTGCAAATATTTTCTTCATATAGCCTATTGTAAAAACTTTCAACACCACAATGGTTGAATAAGTTAAAAAGAAAGCTCCCTTTCAAACAATCCAAGTTCCCTGTGTGGTATGTTTTCTTGATTTTTTTTCTGCATAGACATACATAAACATAGCTATACATTTTTATCAACAGAAATGTGTTTATATCATATATATTGCTCTGTAATTTTATTATCTCATTTGACAATATATTGTGATATCTTTCCATGTTGATGTACATAATTTTGTGTCAGTCTAATAGCCACATAATTTTCTACTACATGAATATGTTATAATTTACTGAAATAATCCCTCTTATTGGATACTTGGTTTATTTCTAGTGTTTTTACTATAACCATATACTTATGCAGTAAAATACTTGTATGTCTGTTTTTCCTTACAGTTATTTGTTATCACTTGTTAGAAGTAAAACACTTTGTAAATTCAGAATTTTGACAGATACTGCCAATTTGCCTTTCAAAGAACTGTACTAATTTATAGTCCAATATAAAGTGTACAAGCCTCTGCCCCTCTGCCTTCTTGCCAATGCTGCTTATTATCAATATTGATCTGATCAGGGTGGGGGAATATAATTACTGTATTTTTGCATTTGTTTATTCATGATGTTAAATGTTCACAATTCAGGGCTGGGGTTGTGGCTCAGTGGTAAAGTGCTCGCCTAGCATGCATGAGGCACTGGGTTCGATCTCAGCACCACATAAAAATAAAATAAAGATATTGTGTCCACTTAAAACTAAAAAATAAATTTAAAAAAATGTTCATGATTCATTTACAGTTATTTGAGTGAGCTATTTGTTCCCCATTTTTTTAATCTTTTAGTCATTTTAGCTAGTATTTTATAGATATTTGTTATGAATATTCACATTAAAATAATCTTAATTACATGTTGTATTTGTTTTTCCCAGTACATCATTCATTTTTTTATTTTGTGTATGCCATCTGTTATTATGTCAAAGTTTTAGATTTTTATATAATTAAGTCTTTAGGGCGTCTAAGGTTGGTGCCATTCAACGAAATGACTTCCCAAATTCAGTTTCAACTATACTCCTGCTTTTAACTCTTACATATTTGTTGTTTTTTATGTTCAAATTATGAATTTAATAGAAGTGCATTCTAATGTATGTTGTGAGATTGATTTTCAACTTTCTTCTTAAATAGATAAGAAATTGTTAAAATAGAATTAACTAAATAAACTATTTTTTCCTCATTGGTTTTAAATGCTACATATGCCATATATTAAATTCCCATATGCAGATAGACCTTTTTGCCTGACTTGTGTTTCATTAAAGTGATTATAAAGATTAGTAACATACTATTTTATTCACTTAAGCTTTATCATAAATATTATATCTGGCTGGACAAATGTATTCTTATACTTCATTTTGACCATCTTGTCTTCTATTTCAATTGATTTATTTTTCTACATGGAATTAAGAATCAACTCAACCTAGTTTCTTTCCTCCAAAAGACTCATTAAGTTTTGTAATAAAACTTTATGTGTTGAACGTAAGATATTGTACATCTTTACAACAATGAAATTTTCATCAAGAACAAGATATATTACCACATTTAATGAGGACTTCTACATCCTGTGATACAGTTTTATAGGTTTCTTCATATAGATATTGTATATTCTGGGTTAAGTTTATTTAAAGATACCCTGTAGCTTTTTGGTATTGTGACACAGTGTTTATTAGAATTACATTACCAATTAAACACTCTTAAGTTATTGATTTTTTTTAATTAAAAAAAATTAATTTGTTCTAGTTATTCATGACATTTGCATTTTGACATATTATACACAAAGCATAACTTCTCCTTCCTCTAGTTATACATGGTGCAGAGTCGCACTGGTAATCATATGTGTATATAGGGTAATAATGCCCATGTTATTCCACCATCTGTCCCACCCCAACACCCCCTCCCCTCCCCTCACTCCCCTCTGCCCAATCTAAAGTTCCTTCATTCTTCTCTATACCCACCCCATATTATGGATCAGCATCTGCTTATCAGAGAAAACTAGGCCTTTGGTTTTTTGGGTTTGCCTTATTTTGCTTAGCATGATATTCTCCAGCTCCATACATTTAAGGTATTGATTTTTGATACATTTAGTCTGTTTAATTGATCTCAGTAACTGTCATCTCCAAATAATGATAATGTCTTTTGTTCTAAAATGAAAAGATAATGAAGGAAATATAACTATGAATGTTTACAGGTGTTCTTATTTTCATATGTACAGTAATGAAGCAGAGTGATGGGATAGTATTCCATTGCTTCTCTGGCTATAGGAACTATGTTAGGAACCTGTTGCAACTTCATGCAAAATAGAGCCCTCACTAGTTGCAGCCTTAGCACATATGACAGACAAGCTGTTCTGCTATAAACCAAAGTGATTTAAGGGCACTCTTTCCCAATTATAGTAATTACTCTGTGGCTTGCTTCTGAGCCTGCTCATCTTTCCAATCTTTGCTCTTTCTTAGGACAGTTTTTCTTTAGGGCTGGTTCAGAAAATCAGTGTACCTTTTGCTCTAGACACTGCCTATATTTTCCTGTTGAATTCCTAGTTTCTTAACTTCACTCTTATTTTCATGCCCATCTTAGGGCTTTGTTTTTATAATTCTTATATAATATTTTATACATATGCATATATATATATATATACATATATGTGTGTGTGTATATATATATATATACACATATATGTGTATATATTGTATATATATATAAAAAAATCTATATTTAAGTTAAGAAACAGAATACAGGCTGAGCATCCTTAATCTAAAAATGTGAAATCTGACATATGCTGACAATCAAAATATTTTTATTTTGAAGCATTTCAGATTTTTTATTTTCAAATTGGGGATATTCAAACAGGAACGTTTATGCAAATCTTCCAAAATCTGAAAAAAACTCAAATCTGAAACATTTCTGGTCCTAAGCATTTTAGAAATGGATAACCATAATAGACCTACAATAAAACCTGTGATAAAATGAACACCAGTGAGTGAATCCCTCTTTCTACCTAAGACCATCAATCCAAATATCTCCAAATCTACCAATCTTTCCTTATTTTAATTTTTAATTCCTACTTCCCTCCCAGAGAAGAATTTTGGTTTTGTCATGTCCTTTAAAAAAGAAAAAAAAAGTTTATTTCTATAGTTTGTAAACAATTAGAAAAGTGGAGCTCAAAGCCTCCAAAACAAAGTAATTATAAGGTGAGGTAAATGTTAAATATTCCTGATTTGATCACTACACACTGGATGCATGTATTGAATTATCACAATGAATCCCATAAATGTGTTCAATTAAAATAATAAAAATAAATAATTGCAGTGTGAAAATGTTTTATCATTTATGATACTTATGTAAGCAGTACAGTATTTAGTTTTAGTGTTGAGCTACCTAAAAGGCCCCACAGTGACATCATATTATTTGTATCAGGGTTTTCTCAGGAAGGCAGAACCCATGTGAGTGATGTAAAATAACGGTTCATTTTATCACAGGTTTTATTGTGGGTCTATTATGGGTATCCCTTTTCTAAAATGCTTGGGACCAGAATGTTTCAGAATTAAGAGTTTTTCAGATTTTGGAAGATTTGCATAAACTTTCGTGTTTGAGTATCCCCAGTCTGAAAATCCAAAATCCAAAATGCTTTAAAATAAAAATTAATTAGAATTAATAACTAATTAGATTGACTATTTAGGTCTTTTTTTTTTTTTTTTTTTTTTGCTTCTCTGAGCTTGAAGCCAGAGGCCCTGACCATGGAAGCAAAGGTGGGTATGAATGAAGTAAGTAGGAAAAAGCAAGGACAAAGCCAGAAGCAAGTCTGTCTTGCTAGTCTCCAGTCCTGATGATGCAGGTGACCTGAAGGGCAAGGTGATTCTCTTCACCAGAAAGCTGAACCACACCTGGCCAAAATCAGAGAAGCTGAAGGAGAAGTTTTGCCAAAATAAGTGGAAATGTATGATCTGAAACTACACATGAATCTCAACAGAGTATCTTCTGTGTTCAAAATGCAATGAAAGTAGAAATCAACAATAGAAAAGGAACTAAAAGAGCAATACATGTGAAAACTGAATTGCAAGCTTTTAATATCTTACTATTTAAAAAAGTCTTGATGGGAATTAGAAAATATTTATAAAATTATGGATTATAAAAGAAAAGTTAAAAATTACATAAAAACAAATAAATGTACCTTCTCTACTCAGTGGTATAGACTATGTTTGTTGATTGTGTTGTTCCAAATTTCCCCATACAAATATTAGATAAATTTCTCTACCGAATATTTAATTCAAAATCACACAGAAAAAATGTGACATGTAATTCCAAGTTAGTTAAATTGACACAGTAGAAAGGTATTAATTCTTTATTGATTTCTGTGACTTTTTTTTCACTCAAAAACAACTTTCTAACTTGTTTTGTGTAGGTATATAGCCTTACCTTTCATTGCTGTATTGTGGTCCACTATGTGAAAATCTCTATCTGTTCTACTATATGTGGGTATCTCAGTTGTTTCCAGTTTTTGCTTTTATAAAGGATGTTATTGTGGATATTCTTATATATTTCTCCTAATGTAAATTGTACAACCATTTCTCCATGGTTTATAAATAGGAGACTTATCACCTAATTTTATAAAATAATGCTAACCTGTCTTCCAGAAATATTTACCAAGTTTATATTTCTACTAATGCCGTATTAAAGTTTTAATTGAACTACATGCTTATTAATACTTAGCATTATCATACTGCTCAATATTGTCTAGTCTGATGAAAGCAGAAAGATATATCTTTGTGATACATACTTGCATATTTATCTGATTGTTAATAAAATTAAGTATTTTTAATGTTTAGTCTCCATTTCTCTTTTTTTCTAAATGTCTGTTCATATACATTTTCCACATTTTTATAATTTTTTTGTATCTATTTTGTAAGAGTTATTATTTTTTAACTAAGGATTAAACCCAGAGGTTCAATCCCCAGCCCTTTATTTTTTATTTTTATTTTGATACAGGGTCTTGCTAGGTTACTTAAGGCCTTGCTAAGTTGCTGAGGCTGACCTCAAACTTATGATCACCCTTCCTTAGTGCAATTACAGGTATGCGCCACTGTGGTTGGTTTTTATATATTTTTAATACTATTATTTTGCAGGATAAATATATAGAAATATCTCAGTGGCTTATGTCTAGGATATTTTATGATGTTTTTTAAATAAGATAACATAACTTTTAATTATTTATCATAATTTTTAAAATTATATAATGTGGTCAGTTTTAGAGTTAGTACTTTTTAATCTTGTTTAAGAACTCCTAAAATAGACTTAGGTCGTTCATATATCCTTCTGTGTTATATTCTTATAGCTTTCAGATTGTGTCTTTAACCAACCTGGATGTGATTTGTGTGTGTGGTCTAGAATAAGGATTCTATCCCATTTTTTCCATATGTATAATTTTTAGCTCAGTACTATTTATTGAATACTTTGCTGGGAGCCATTAGCCAAGTAGGTATGACAATTTCCTTGCCAGCATACCCCATGTTGCTTAGTGGAAGGACTTGTGGAAATAGGACATCTTGCAGTGACATTGCATCTAAGGTGACCTTGCTCAAGGACCAGGGCGGATCCGGGTTTAGGGTGTTCCGGGTTTAGGGTGTTCCCGGTTTAGGATAATCTGGGTTTAGGGCGTTCCCTGTTTAGGACTATCCGGGTTTAGGGTGGTTCCAGGTTTAAGGTTATTCCTGCTGGGAATAGGGCGTATCCTGCTGCCTGAGTTCCCCTTGAGTTCTCACGGGATTCAGACAGTATTTTTTGGGAGACAGAAGCCCAGTGGGGGTGGATTTGGGCAGAGAACGTGGATTTCCCCAGAACGTGATTGTAGACGGCTGGTGTGAGTTCGGGAATAAAGATTTGCTGTTTGAATCTACAAGCTGTGTGGTGGCTCGTGATTTTGTGCCCAGCCAGACTGCGGCATTTGGCGGCTCGTATGGGGAACGTCTGAAACTTGGAGGTAAGTGAAATTGCTCGCCCCTGAGGGAAGGCAAGAGAATGGGTGATCAATTCAAAAAACAATGTGTTCCTGTTTTGATTTATTTTGTTTTTGTTTCAAGCTGCCTATCCCTAGAAATTTCTCAGGCAAACTGGGAAAAATGGTTGGCTAAAGGTTTGAAGTTTGTTGGCCCTGAGGAAGAGAAAATTGATACAACAATTTTTTATTCCGTTTTTGTTTCATTCAGTTTTGGTTTTGTTTTGTGTTATCTTATTGGGTTGCGTTATCTTTATAGTAGATTAGAAATTAGTAAAAAACAAATCGAAAAGATGTTAAGTAAATTGTTAGAGGTTCAGACCATGGAGAAAGGCATTTTAGATCAAGCAAAAGAGAAGGTCTCTCGAGCTAGTCAGACAGAGGAAGAAAATTTAAAGGAAAAGGGGTTGTTAGGAAAAAGGCCACAACAGGAGGCTGTTACTAACTCCGTTTTATCACAAGAGGGCGTAATTCAACCAACAGCCCCACCGATGGAGAAAGCTGAGTGGCCCTCAAACCCTGTAGTTGATAAATGGGATCCTGAGACAGGACCTCAAAGATTAGCATGCCCTGTACTTGAACAGGTAGGCGGGCAGTGAATTCACCGTGCTTTAGATTTTAAAACAGTGAAGCAGTTAAAGGAGGCTGTAACAACCTATGGTACCCGAGCTCCCTTCACGGTAAGCATGGTCGAGTCCATTACTAACTTGGACATGATGCCAGCAGATTGGGCTAGCATGTGTAAGTCTGTACTAAATGGAGGACAATATTTGTTATGGAAGGTTGCCAATGAGGAATTTTGCGCGGAGACAGCTAGGCGAAATGCAGCAGCCGGTTACCCTCAAAGAAATCTAGATATGTTGTTAGGAAAAGGACCTTATGAGGGTCAACGGCAACAAATTGAATATGATCCTGCTATATATGCACAAATTGCTGCAGACGCAGTTAGGGCATGGAAGACTTTACAAGGACATGGAGATTTACAAGGTCAGCTATCTAAGGTAATAAAGAGAGCTAATGAACCTTAAGCTGACTTTGTAGATAGGCTAATTCAAACGGCTGCCAAAATTTTTGGGGATACAGAACAAGCAATGCCATTAATAAAACAACTGGCCTATGACCAACCAAATCGTTGCTGCAGAGAGGTTATTAGACCATGGAGACATGAAGATTTAAACACATATATTAAATTATGTAGAGATATTAATGAACAAGGGCAAGTCTTGGCAGCTGCAGTACAACAGGCTTTAGATGCCAGGCCAAAAACATGCTACAATTGTGAACAAACAGGACATTTTAAAAGGAATTGCCCCATAGGAGGAGGGTTTAACAAAAGTAGGTATCAAAGGAATAGAATATCGGGTATTTGCCCACGATGCCGTAGAGGGAGACATTGGGCTAATGAATGCCGTTCTCAAACCACCATAGAGGGTACTCCCTTATCAAAAAACGAATATCGTGGAGAAAGGCATCAGGCTCCATTGCCAAAAAACGGACAGGGGGGCCCAATGCTCCAGGGCCCACAACCACAAATCTACGGGGCAGTGGAGGAACCCAGCAACACCATCAGGGTAGTGCCCAGGACACATTGTCCATTAAATCCCTCATCAAACAAACCCGAGAGAGCGCAGGGTTGGACATCTGTGCCTCTGCCAGAGCAGTATTAACTCCAGAGATGGGAGTTCAAATCATTCCCACAGGAGTAAAAGGACCTCTTCCCCAAGGAACAGTAGGCTTATTATTGGGACGTAGTTCATCTACATTAAAAGGACTTATGATAAGTCCTGGGGTAATTGATCCCGATTATGTAGGTGAAATAAAAATTACAGCTAGTTCTCCAGGAGGTATATCAGTAATTTCACCTGGAGATAGAATAGCACAGTTGTTAATAATACCCAGCCTACATAATGAATTTCCTAGTCGTAGTGTAGAAAGAGGTTCCAGGGGATTAGGCTCCACAGGTGTAGATTGGGCTATGTTGTCTTTAAATTTAGATTCTTGCCCAATGCTAAAACTAAATACTCAAGGACATGAGTTTAATGGGCTACTGGACACAGGTGCTGACCTTAGCATCATATCTCGTCAAGAATGGCCAAAACATTAGCCATTACAACAAGCCACTCAAACGCTTCGAGGCCTAGGAGTGGCGACTAATCCCCATAGAAGTTCTATGATGTTAGATTGGAAGGATCCTGAAGAATGTGAAGGAACTATACAGCCATATGTATTGGATCATCTTCCTATAAATTTATGGGGACGAGATGTCCTAGATCAATTAGGTTTGACGTTAACAAATAACATCAATCCTAATGCGCCCACTACTAGGGCTAGACAAGGCTTTAGGAAAGAAAAAAGATTAGGAAAACAAGGGCAAGGTATAGCAGCACCAATACAAATAGATCAAGGAACAGACAGACATGGGTTGGATTTTCAGAAAGGGCCACTGAGACAATCAAAATTACTTGGAAATCAGAAAGACCAGTGTGGGTTCCTCAGTGGCCCCTGACTAAAGAAAAGATACAAGCAGCCCATGATCTGGTCAAACAACAATTAGCGGAAGGACATATACAACCTTCCATATCTCCCCATAATACTCCCATTTTTGTCATCAAAAAGAAATCTGGTAAATGGAGATTATTGCAAGATTTAAGAGCCATTAATAATGAAATGGTTATTATGGGACCTGCTCAATTAGGGATTCCTCAATTGTCTGCTTTGCCAAAAACCTGGCATGTTTTAGCTATAGATATTAAAGATTGTTTTTTTTCAATTCCAATTCATCCCAAGGAAAGGTCCTGACCCAGTGATTGTCTGGAGTCGGGGGTCTGTTTGTGTTTTTCCACAGGGAGAACAGCAGCCGATTTGGATTCCAGAGAGATTAACTAAAACAATTTCTACAGATCGAAAAGAAGATGATTTGACTCAAATCCATAACAGCTGATATCCAGAACTCCAGCATGGCCATTCTTACATCTGCGACAGTGATTAACCAGGATGCTTTTTTCAATAGCTATTTTATTATTGCATTTTTCCACATCATAAGGTTCTATTTTTATTTTTTGAGCTCATACAAACCTAGGTTAATGTTTTTCTGATCAGTTTTATTTTTTTACTGTGGAGTTTTTAAACATTGCAATGGAGATTTCACCCAGGTAAAGCTACAAAGCCTTTACTATTTTCTTATGTGTTGTACATTTGTGTGCACTCTTGTGTTTTGTGTTGTATGTCTGTATGTGCGTATGTCCATATTTCTTTTTTTTATTTTTTATTTTTTTTTATAGTTGGTTGTTCAAACCATTACATAGTTCTTGATATATCATCTTTCACACTTTGCTTCAAGTGGGTTATGAACTCCCATTTTTAGTCCATATACAGATTGCAGAATCACATCAATTACACATCCATTGATTTACATATTGCCATACTAGTGACTGTCGTGTTCTGCTACCTTTCCTATCCTCTACTATCCCCCCTCCCCTCCCCTCCCCTCCCCTCATCTCTCTCTACCCCCTCTACTGACCTTCATTTCTCCCCCTTGTATTATTTTTCCCTTTCCCCTCCTTTCCTCTTGTATGTTCTTTTGTATAACCCTGAGGGTCTCCTTCCATTTCCATTTTCTCTCCCTTTCCCTCCCACCTCTCATCTCTGTTTAATGTTAATCTTCTTCTCATGCTCTTCGTCCCTACTCTGTTCTTAGTTACTCTCCTTATATCAAAGAAGACATTTGGCATTTGTTTTTTAGGGATTGGCTAGCTTCACTTAGCATAATCTGCTCTAGTGCCATCCATTTCCCTGCAAATTCTATGATTTTGTCATTTTTTAATGCA